CCGAATTTTGATCATGTGACACGGGGACACTGCAACGGTCACTGTTTTCAGCACCAATGTAACTTCGAATGGCCGTTAAACAAATGGTCATAAGTCAAGCCTGTACTTTTTATATACATTTTATGCATGTAAAAATCTCATTTGCTATTTAACTAACATTTGGTACTAATAGGCATTCCTTCCCCCCATTAGTCTGTTAAATAGAGGATTTGGTTGAGACATATTTTTTTTGTCTTTATTTTAGGTATTGAATCTAAAACTCAGATAAAAGATGGAATCTCAGTAGCTAAACCCTGAAGATCTTTTCCAAAACCCTGAGTCGATAATTGAATGTTGAGTTCTCTGTCTGCCTATTTTTCACACTTCGTGCCACTGCATAACATTTTGTTTATATCACTGTCAAGTCTGTGCAGAAAGAAGAACAAATATATTGCACTTAAAAAAAATTCTGGGATTGCTAGACTTCATCAAAATCAAAATCCAGGTAGGTATCTAAGTGTAAAATCCCTTACTGGAATGCTAGGGAGCCTCCTAATTCTCTTTACCTCTACCAATAAACTGTACCCCTAACTTGTACCTTTGTCCTAGCCACTTCCAACCTCTCTACACCCAGATCATGCCAAAGCGGTATAGTGGTAAGTATATTGAATTAAGATCAGGGATACCATATTCAAATCCACATTCATGCCTGGAAGTTCAACAGTTGATTTTTGTAGTAGTTATTAACACACTAGATTGATGTTGCAGGGATAAAATTAAAGAAAGGACCATAATGTATGCCACTTTGAACTTCTGGGAAAAAAGCCAAATATAAATCTAACAAATATCTAAAATACAATTAATGCTCATATTTTCTCCAGAACCCTCCCCCAGCACACTGTAACAATACCTTTCTAAAAACCAACTAAGTGCTTCCATTCTATTTTATTTGTTTTCTCCTTTTTTCATAGCTATTGTTTCACATTAATGTTTCTGGAAGTCTTCCTAAAACTGGTGTCCTTCAAATGTAATGAGAGAACCCAGAACTTCTAGCCAATATGATCCAAATATAATTGGAGGGCACGAGGTTAGAATAGTGAGTACACATACATGTCAAGCATTAAATAGCATAAACAGCAGTGATGAGGAGTGAAAGCCTTCTGGGTTTACACACTGCACACTACTTGCTTTAACCAGTCTGTTTATGAAGACACACTGGCCTGGCTCACAGAGATTGGGTTTGTGCATCATGCTAAGCCATGAGTTATATATGTACACTTCTTGAGTTCCTGAACAAAAGGCAGAATATAAAACAAACAAACAAATATGCAAAGTACTTCATAGTTTTATGTAATATCTTTTCATATACAGTTCATCCGAGGCTACCAAATCTGGGGTGCAAAAAATATATATGTTGCTAAAGAGGTATTAGGAATTCTAATTCTTTGTGGAGTCCTTGGTGCTGTCTGAGCTTGGTTGTTTGCTTGCAGACATTTCATTACCGAAGTAGATAACATCATCAGTGCTAGTGAGTGTGGGGTTTGCTCCCTCTTTATATACAGTAGCTTGTACCCTGTTAGTATTGGTATGACATTCTCCTTGGTAGTTCCTTGATTACACTACTGCTTTCTGCTTGCTTGCTTGTCTGCCTGTTCTTAATTCCTGCTTATCTAGCTGTTGGTTGCTGGAGAGGATATGTTCTGGTCTTTTTGTTTTCTTCTTAGCTTTTTTATTGCCTCTTTTGAATGGCACGTAAATGTGGTTTATTTCTATGTATCTATGGATGGCTGATTTGTCTGAATGCCAAGCTTCTAGGAATTCCCCAGTGTTTTTGGATTTAGCTTGGTCTAGGATGTTCAGTTTTCCAGTTCAACCTATGGTTGAGTCTGTCAATGTGTTGTGAGATTAAGGAGTTTTCATGATGTCTTCTGACTGCTAGTTGGTGTTCACGGATGCACTCTGCTAGTCTTCTGCCTGTCTGTCCTACATAGTGACTGTTACAGTCTTTACACTGTATGTTGTAGATGATTCTTGTTTTTTCTTCTTGGGGTACTGGGTCTTTTGATTTACTTAAGATGTATTGAAGAGCTTTAGTTGGTTTGTGTGCTACCATGATGCTGTGTGGTTATAATACTCTGCTGGTCGTTTCTGAGATGTCTCTGATGTATGGCAGTGTTAACCTTTTCACAGCTTGTGTTGGTTGTGCTGTAGTGGGTTGAGCGGTCAGGCACTTTCTGATAAAGTTGTATGGGTATCCATTTTGTTGGACGATGTTGTATAAGCAGTCTCTTTCCTTTTCCTGGTGTTCAGGGTTGCTGCAGTGCATTTGTACTTTTCTGAAAAATGTTCTTACACAGCTTCTCTTGTGGGAGGTTGGTTTGTTATTTTGGTAATGGAGCACTTGGTTAGTGTGGGTTGTTTTTCGTAAGACTTGTGTTTCTAATTTGCTGTCATTTCCTCTGCTGATGAGGGTATCCAGGAAGGGTAGTGTGTTGTTTTCTTAGTTTCAGCTGGGAAACTGTGAATATCCTAGACCAAGCTAAATCCAAGAATGCTAGGGAATTCCTAGAAGCTTGGCATTCAGACAAATCAACCATTAATAGACACATAGAAATAAACCATATTTACACAACATTCAAGAGAGAGAATAAAAAAGCTAAGAAGGAAATAAAAAGACTAGAACACATCCTCTCCAGCAGCCAACACCCAGATAAGCAGAGATTAACACCAGACAAACAATCAAGAAGAAAACTAGACCCTAATCAAGGAACTCCCAAAGAGAAAACCACACCCCCTCCAACACTGGTAGGACAAGCTACTGTATATAAACAGGGAGCAAACCCCACACTCACTCACACTGATGATGTTACCTAGTTGGGTAATGAAATGTCTGCAAACAAACAACCAAGCTCAGAGAGCACCAAGGACTTCACAGTTCAACCCTGAGCTACGTATATTCTCTTCTATTGGATTCTAATTCTTTGCTTGCATTTAGAGTTTGGAGACTGAAGTAGCATGCAAGCATTTGTGATACATAAATAAAATTGTATGGTAACCCTAATTCCAACTCCTTTACTTATCACAAGTCTGATTCTAACAAATCAGTTTTATTTACTTTTATTTCACTTTTTTGATATTACATAAATCTTACATGCCATTCACAATTAATTACAAAACATTATTTAAAATGCCAAATAAACTTAAACTTTGCCAAAGCTGAGAAACATTTGGAAGAAAACAGTGGGGATGTCTAAAAATATGTAGAGATCATATTGCATGCAGGGTAATTGTACATCTATGCAAGTCATGCATCACAATTTCATTTCAACGGTAAATGAATAGCCGTCAAAACAAAATAACATCTGAGGAGGCTTCTCATCATATGGTGGCATAAAATGCCTAAGATCAGCAACAATTGCAACTTCCTTCAGATCACGTCAATCTCTAATAAACAATTATTTGCATTTTAAAGAATTATAAAGTATTAAAGAAAAAGGTAAAGCAGAGATAACACAGAAACTACATTAATTGTTATTATGTAGTGATATGTCACACATTTATAGATTATGACAGCTGCTGTAAAAGCAATACTTTCATACGAAATCTTAATATTAACCAACTGATGTTTACTATTATTATATTTTTTATCCCACCTTTTTTATATATAACTCAAGGCAGCGAACATACTTAATATTCCTGCCTCCTATTTCCCCCACAACAATTATTATATTAAGGATAGCTTAATAATTTCAAGAGTGAAATTCATTAAATGATATTCATTATTAATATTATACTTTTGAGCATTTCACAGTGCAATGTAAAATCAGTCCAAAAATAGATAAATCATACTGGTAAAATATTAGTTATTTTCTGCATGGACTAGGATTGCCAGATATTCAAAGGGAACTGAGTAGTGATCCTATAAAGCTTTCCTTATTCATTCTTCCATCCCCTGAATACCTACTGTATAGGAAATGAATTTGTTCATCTGCTATCCACCAAAAAGCATCCACTTCAAATGCCTCTTGCTAGAAAGCTAGGATTGATTGAATGAATGAATGAAAACAAACAGTATTAAATTATTATTTAAACTATTTTGATTGAATATATACATGTTTTGTTTTCAATGGTTCCTTATAATAATTTCTATAGAGGATTAAGGCCTTACCTTTCTATTAAATGATGGGAAGAAAGATGCCACGATCGGTCCCAGGCTTAAGAAAAACCTGGAATATGTCATATAATGGAATCATCTACTCAGTGGCTCTAAGTGAGAAGGTTCTTGCTCTGGGGAAACTACTGAGGGGGGCTAGGTTTATCCATCCTTTGATTTCTATAATTCCTCAAAGAGTTAAAACGTTATCTAGGTTTGGTCATCTGCCACTATTCAAAGTACCTGGCTAGAAAGTGAAAAATTAGAGGAGACAGAGCTAAAGCAGATATAACAGATTAGGGGATACAATTCCACATAACTGCCCACCACATAATGAAAGCAGAGAGGCTCTTTCACCTTCAGCCAGTAAACAGTCTTCAGAATATTTTCTTGTTATCTGACAGTGAACTAACTTCTCCCATTTATGTGTTCATCCTGTTAATTCATCCCTCCAAGATTCACACTTGACCAAGTTGGGATATTTTTTAATCTGCACATTCTCATCTATATCTTCTATTCAGTAACATACATTTTCAGAAGTGTTTTGCTGAATTGTCCTGTAATGCTGCTGCATTGTGCTAATGACAAAAGAAAACACTGAAAGCACCCCGACCCCCAAAAAGCAACTTAGTAATTCTATAAAGATGACATAAGGACAGTTGCATCCTTTTTCTGAATTTCATAAATTCAAATTCTACTGAGGCACTACATCCCATGAAAACCTCACAAACTTTTAAAAAGTTAATTATTAAAAAAGAAAACATAAGCGCAAGTAATGAGACAAAGTCCTCTTATTCTGCCCACCTAGCTAACAGCAGACCCAGAAATCCATGACTGAAACACCATTCTCATTAGCTTCTTACCGAATGTGTGTTGCAGGGAGGGACTCATATTGACGAGACAGAAATAATTCTCTGTGCTTCAGCTGGTGCTTCTGTTTATCAGTCAGATCTATTTCTTTGGGAATTTCAGATTCTTCCTCAACTTCTTCTGCACAAAAGAAGAAAAGAGAGGCCTGATGTTATCTTCAGAACCACTATTTCAGTTGGGTTTCTGTCTTCTATGAAACTTTCCATCTTGTTTTTAATAGAATTGCATCTTTCTATTTCTGCAAACAAACCAACAATAATCAAACTGATCACGATAGAAAACAATCTTCAGTAGGAAAAACAATCTATTTACAAGAATTACTGATTTCTACAATATGGCAATAATAATAATAATAATAATAATAATAATAATAATAATAATAATAATAATACAGCTACACCTCACCCTTGAGATTTTTTACAGTTCCAATTATAATTATATTGGGTTGTATTCAACTGTGTCTCTCTGCCAGCAGAATGGGTATCACTGGCAAAAGAGATTTGAGGGCTGAGAAGAAATAAAAAGATGAGGAAAGAGACACTTCCTTGTATGGGCAGAATTTCCCTTTCATAATATTGAATTTAGCTGTTTAATTTGCTATTTTATCTACCAAGATACTCAAAGCAATTTTACCTAAAATACAAAATAAGACTGCTATCTATTCAAAAGACCCACACACATCAAAGAGAGTTTATTCATAGGAAAGTAGGTTTACAACTGTAGCTTTAAAATATATTAAAATGCACTGTAAAATATAATCTATAATGCCACCTTTGACACTGATCCATCACTCTCAACTTACATATATTTTATGAATCTGCACTGTATATAAAGTTTAGAATTGCAGGTATATAATGCGTGAATATAGATTTTTAGAATTTAGATTTTTAATGTCACCAAATAATTAAATATCACTTGGAATTGCAGTACTTATTATTTCCATAAACTTTTAGATCAGAGATGATCACAGATAAGGAATGACTGGAAGAACTCTATATCAAAACTCTCCAATCCCCAGTGGTATAATAACCCCACATGAAGCCTTTTTCCTATTAAATTAATTTGCTGGAAACAACAAAATTTAGGAAGAAAAGAAAAACAGATTCATGTGAAAAACATTTTCTTTGCATGTTTCAGGGATGATATAACACAAATTTCTAGACTGAGCATGTCTTCAACAGCACTTTGTTCTATAGTCCAATTCTTGTTTTTTTTTTTACCAATCTCTATTGGCCCTAGAGATTTTCATAACTATAACCTAATAAATCTAATACCTGTCTAACCCTATAGGGCCTGCTCAAATCTGACTTCATCCTTGGGTATAACTTCCATTCATACTCCTACATTCTCACCACACAAATAATGTAATTAATTAATAGGGAAGGATATGAAATAGGCCTACAGAGGCAAGGGGCTGGCTGCCTGTAGAACAAGAGGTTTGGGGAGAAGACTCTTTCCTGGAAGTCCTCTGGATTTTACACACACTGACCCACTTTCCTGCCTTGGCTCAGCTTCTATGTTATGTAGTACTTTCCTCCAACTACCACCTATCTTGGGGGAGACAGGAATGCCTTGGTCTGCCTTCTTCTCCTTTAACACCATTTTGTGAGAGACACCAGGTAACTCACAGTCTGAATGCTTACTTGTCCATAAAGTAGCATAATAATAATAAAAAAATAAGAAAGACAAAAAAGTCCAGATAGTGGAAATTGCAATACCTGGAGACAGCAGAAGAGAAGAGAAAGAACTGGAGAAAATCACAAAATATGAAGACCTACAAATAGAAGTAGAATGACTATGGTAAAAGAAAACAAAGATAGTACCAATAGTTATACCTTAGGTGCAATCCCAAAACATCTGGAGCACCACTTGGAGACCATCAGCATTGACAAAATCACCATCAGTCCATTGTAAAAGGCAGCTTTACTTGAACAGCTTATATCCTGCGACAATACCTTTAACAACATCAAACAACAACATCTGCCTATCCCAGATCCTTGGGAAGAACTCGATAAGTGGACAAAAATACCAAATCCAGTCTAAACATCTGGCTGACTGTGCGACCAAACAATATAACAACAACAACGGTGGTAAATCAAACTCTATAGCATTACCTCCTGGCCTCCTGGCTCCAGTAACTTTGAGACATGTAGACAGAGACAAAAAGCCTTGATATTAAAAAAAAAATAAAAATCAAATGCATTAAAAACTAAAAAAAAGAAAAAGAAAAATATAACTTCATTTTAACCTGAGGTAGTCAAATGCTCTAAAACAATTACAAAAATGGATGGAATAAAGCATTTAAGCACTGATAAAAATTGCAAACATCATCTCAATAATCAATCTCCTATAAAATGCTATGGGTAAACAGGGCACAGGTCCATTGTGGGTAGGAGTTGAAGGTCAAATAATTTTAAATAGAACAAATCATGCATGGAGTTAGCACAAAATAAAATAAAGTTCTGATATAAGCATTAGAGGATGTTTCCAAAAAACTAGCAGGCATATTCAAAATGTTAGAATCTATAAAGCAGATACTTTCATGGTTATGATACTCTATTATTCTTGATAAACCTTGTTTCCCGCAGATTTCCAATTGCCAATCAGAGGCTTTGAAGTAACTTCACCTTAGCTCTGGTGACCTCCAGAGGTTTCTGGGTCCTGTTCTGGGCTCTCTCCCTCATCTCTATTCCAGAGAAACTAGATTTGCTCTCTGCCATGGATCCAAGCAATGTACTGCTCCACTAACCTGGAGTTACCGCCCTCTCCCTTTCCAAGTGTTGCCTTTCTCCATTTCCTGAGAACTAGTTTTCCAATGCCCATCCCAAGACTGCCATCTTCTTCCGCAAAGAACCACTCCATTTCTCTGGTCCCACTTACAGTGGGGCAAAAAAGTATTTAGTCAGCCACCCATTGTGCAAGTTCTCCCACTTAAAAAGATGAGAGAGGCCTGTAATTTTCATCATAGGTATACCTCAACTATGAGAGACAAAATGGGGGAAAAAATCCAGAAAATCACATTGTCTGATTTTTAAAGAATTTAAAAATTGGCAGAGAGGTACAGTGGGGCAAAAAAGTATTTAGTCAGCCACCCATTGTGCAAGTTCTCCCACTTAAAAAGATGAGAGAGGCCTGTAATTTTCATCATAGGTATACCTCAACTATGAGAGACAAAATGGGGGAAAAAATCCAGAAAATCACATTGTCTGATTTTTAAAGAATTTATTTGCAAATCATGGTGGAAAATAAGTATTTGGTCACCTACAAACAAGCAAGATGTCTGGCTCTCACAGACCTGTAACTACTTCTTTAAGAGGCTCCTCTGTCCTCCACTCGTTACCTGTAGTAAAATTGGCAGAGAGGTACAGTGGGGCAAAAAAGTATTTAGTCAGCCACCCATTGTGCAAGTTCTCCCACTTAAAAAGATGAGAGAGGCCTGTAATTTTCATCATAGGTATACCTCAACTATGAGAGACAAAATGGGGGAAAAAATCCAGAAAATCACATTGTCTGATTTTTAAAGAATTTATTTGCAAATCATGGTGGAAAATAAGTATTTGGTCACCTACAAACAAGCAAGATGTCTGGCTCTCACAGACCTGTAACTACTTCTTTAAGAGGCTCCTCTGTCCTCCACTCGTTACCTGTAGTAAAATTGGCAGAGAGGTACAGTGGGGCAAAAAAGTATTTAGTCAGCCACCCATTGTGCAAGTTCTCCCACTTAAAAAGATGAGAGAGGCCTGTAATTTTCATCATAGGTATACCTCAACTATGAGAGACAAAATGGGGAAAAAAATCCAGAAAATCACGTTGTCTGATTTTATTTTCTGGATTTTTTCCCCCATTTTGTCTCTCATAGTTGAGGTATACCTATGATGAAAATTACAGGCCTCTCTCATCTTTTTAAGTGGGAGAACTTGCACAATTGGTGGCTGACTAAATACTTTTTTGCCCCACTGTACCTCTCTGCCAATTTTTCAATGTTGTCTATTCTCTTAGATCTCTGCCTGCATTCTCCTCCCCTTCATTTCAACCCAACAGTTTTTAACCCGTAAGGATAGAGCTGATGAGAATCTTTTTGGTTCTTCTTGAGCAAACTTTCTCCTTCACCTCTTTGTTTTTGAGACTAGGATTCCAAAATGACTAAACTTTTGTTCTCTCTAGACAAAAGGGGTGAAACTGTAGGTCACAACCTGGCTAACATATTCTCAGATATGTTTTACTAGCATGGCAGGAGTGGGGAGAGAATATCTTCCTCCCTCTAAGCTTACTCAGATATTTTATACTGGATGAATGTGGGGAAAGGATTGCCTCCTTACCTAGTGCAGCACCACATGCCTTGAAAGAATGGGGCTTGTCTATTCACTACAAGGTCAATGAGGAAAGAGAATGCAACTCAACTTTTTCTGGACTCAATTACTTCAGAAAGCAAATGAACCTTATTTTTAAAAAAGCTAGTAAAGAAAGGATCAGACTAGAATACTTACAGCTTCTTTTTAACTGAGATATAGAAGAACATTCATTCACGTAAGCCAGACCTACAGCTTGAAGTGATTTCCCATCACAGCAGGAGTTTGATTTTTAATTCCTTATGTTGCATGCTATATCAGAAGTCAGGCTGTAATTATAGTCACGTAGAGTTCAACCTTTTGAAACTACAGGTAGTCCTTGTTTAATGACCCTAATTAGGACCAGCAACTTTACTGCTAAGCAAAGCAGTCACTAAGTGGGAAATCACATGACCAAAACTGTACTTTCCGGCTGGAAACAGACAAGACTACCCAGTTTCACACCTTTGGCTTTTGCTTGCCTCCTAACCACTCCCCCATCCTTTGGAATGCTCGAGTGCCTGCTTACTGTCTTGTACACATCGAAAGCAATGACTGGGACTGGGAGCTGTGGGCATGCTATGGAAACAACTTACTCTCTTGAAATCCCTTTCTCTCTAATATCTCCACTCTGCAGGGGGTGGGGGGTAGAAAAAAAAACAAGCAATTTCTGTAGACCTTCTCCTCTGCCTGTCCCTTTCCCACTGCCAGCCCGATCGCATTGGAAAGCTTTAAAGGGAGAAGTGAGTACTCATGCGCACCACAAATTCTTTTCTCTTGGTACAAATTTAG